TTAATTAAAACAGGGATTAACAGATGATACTGAGCTACTGCAGTTTCAACTGAAGCTTGAAATATCGAAATTTCAAGGAGAATTTTGAAGATTCTCCAACTGACTTGAATCTTTCGTAACATGTTTCCTCGGTACATTTGAACATCCGCTCCTCGGCATGCGCCAAATAGAGATGCTGACGCAGCGACGACAGCGAGCAGTAATATTTACCGCACACTGTGCACATTTCACGTGCATTTCCAATGTCTTCATGTATTTTCAGATGCTGATAGAGGGTCGATTTGACGCGAAACGAACGCTCGCAAATACCGCATGAATACGGTTTTTCGCCTAAAACAGTTGGGGGACTTTATATTATTAAATTTGAATTTATCTTCCCATTCTACAGGAATATATGCCCGAAAAATGTCCAAAAAATAACACACTGCTAACTGCAACCACACGCTGGTAAACTTGTCAATGGTTTCTCCAAACATTCCAGAGGCTACCCATTCAAAGAATGAAATTATCTGATTTTCTTACACATAAACACCGACTTCGGCACGAATTGAAAGGTGAAGCCGCCTTTACACCAAAAGGAAAGAAATCCTATTTTTGAAATACCATCAAAGTAAATTTCACCCTCTCCCCCCCCTCCCCCTTCCCCGCCCTCTCACCCCCCTCTCTTCCTTCCGTCCTCTCAAACTACTGAAGTACAATAACTTTGGATTACCTGTATGAACTCGCTTGTGTCGCACCAAGTCTGATGGCTTTTTGAAACTTCGATCACATACATCACATGAGTGAGTTTTCTGAAAAGAAAAAATAATAAAGGCGCAATAGCTGATAAGAATATGAAAGTGTTCATTATCAATGATGAGGATAACTTGACTGTTCACAAGCTGAAAGTTTCAAAATCAAGAAACTGGAGAAATTGCCAGCTGCAGCGATGAGGAGAATGAAAAAAATGGAGCACCAGCTGTGAACAAAATCTCAAGGTGTCGAAAATCCATGTGTAAAAACGAGGATTATCACCGATAACCATGGAAATTCCCCAACAAAATGCATTTAAATTTCGGAAGCAAAAATGAAATTCTACGACTGTTCATTCTTCATCATTCATCCACTCAAAAGTCCTTAATTTATCGATCTTCTAGTTATCACCATCATTCGCTGATCAAATTCATTTCATTCTGGGCAGCCATTTGTTTTCTTATAATCCTATTACAGACCTATGCAGTTATATTCAAACTGTTGGGGGGTTTTTTTAACGAAAAATCAAGATTCCTTCGTTTTAGATCAAAAATATGCACATACACGCATACATCCTTATTATAATTCCTTCCCACTACAATTTTACTCAAATCAAATCAAAATCAATTGAACCATGGCATCAACCTGTCGCTCTTTTTCCATATAACTATCTCCGTGTGAGAAATTCCTCTCGTCATGTTGATTCTGCAAAATAGGTAAATTAATATCATTTCATTCGAAAACTTTCATGTGTTTTCTTTCCAAAAAAAAAA